CCTCAAAACCCCAAAACCCCAAAACCCCAAAACCCCACATGAGCCAGGAAAATTTGAAATTATTAAATTAAAAAGAATTATGATAACTTAATTATTTCTTCGAAGATGATTCTTCCAGCTGTTTTTGGGTATTTTCCATCTCATCGATCTCATTAAGAAGTTTTTCTCGTGCTTTTTGTAAAGGAATTAGGTCCTCTGCATACAACTGGTTATCATCATCAGAGAGTTGGTTATTCTTGGCAGCCTCCTCTCTGATTTTGTCTTTATATAGGACGAGTAAGTTGGTCCTACATGTCGGACATTCAAATTTTATAGTAAGCCATTCTTTGAGGCACCCAAAATGTAACAGATGTGTTCGTCCACATTCAAGTTGGAGGACAGTGTCATTCTCTTCAATATCATCTTGACAGATTGTGCATACAATTCCTCTATCAATCTTCTTTATGGAAGGTCTGCTCTTGATTATTGAAAATCTTCTTATAGTCTTATTTTTCAGACTTTCTAGCTTCAAGCGGGAGATCCCAGACATCACTGACATCTCTCGCTGAAACTTCATCTAATCTTTTAGGAGGAGATTCGGCTAAATTGTTAAATTTAAGCACTTTACCTCTTTGATAATCTCTTGGTGTCTCTTTCTCGCATTTCTTCAGATTAAGAGCATTGCTTATGCCCTCATCGGAAAATTTGAACTCATCTTCTATATCCTGCATGAAAGCTTGAAGTTTAGCATCATAAGGTCTGATTGGAGTAAACGAATTATCTGGAGATCCGCTCACGGAAGAATCATCGGGAATCATTAGGTTCATCTCACTATTCTTCCTGGTTGCATCACCAGTGAGAAAGCTTCCTCTCTTATGACCTGATTTATTTATCTCAGGAGTTCACTCCACTGGGGTTAAGAAATGTTTTAAATCCTTATCGTCAAAATGTTCCCTGAAATTAACCTTCTTGAAAATAATCTTATTGTTTTTATAAATATAAAGAAGTAATTGCTGCCAGCTCATACCTCTCTTGAAATGAAAGAGGAAGTCCATATCCTCCTCTGAATGCTGTCCCCCAGGGAGTCTATTCATAGCATCTCTGACTCTTGGTCAACATCACCACGCTCAGCAGTAAATTCAAAATGACACAGGAAGCACGGGTAGCATTAACAAAGCTACTAGGATTTCCATTACGAATATATCCAATGACAATATTATTGAGGTTATAAGACAATAAAGTAGCAATCCTGATAGCAATGAGTCCTCTTTTCCATACTGATCATAAAGCTCAGGCTTGATGTAAATTCCAAAAACGAGTCAGAAAACTACCATGCCCGCCATGTGAAACAAATGAGCGATAATAGATCATTTTTCTATTTTATTTATACAGAGTCCTTCACAGAAGCAATTTCCATAATTTGAGTGGTAAAACAGCCCTTATTCCTCTCCGGATCACATTGGGGTGTGAATTCACCGGCCTGGTTATATAAATTATGTATGAGGAAATATGTAACGTCACACTGAAGAAAGCCCACATGAAAAATATTTCAGGCTCCTTGATATGTTTGCAAAGATATATTAGGCCTACATGAATTGTTGATCAGTTATCTTTAATTAGGTATTTTCCAAAATGACGTAAACTCTTTTCATCGAAAGGAAAACTTACTTATCAAGGGGTTTGAAAATGTTACTAAGATAAACATTGTTGAATGTATATACTCAATAACGAACACGCCTGCGTTGATTATGACTCATTCTAACACCATTTGGTCTGGTTCTCGTCTGAAAATTTAATGATAACAATCCTGTTTATTCTATAATCTCTCACAAATAGGGGTTTTGGGGTTTTGGGGTTTTGGGGTTTTGGGG